GTGTGTGTGTGCGTGTAATTTTGTTTATTTGTGAGTGTGTGCGTTTGTTCTTGTGTGTGTGTGTGCGTGTGTGTTTTTGTCCTTTGGACTGTGTCAAGGAGGTAACGATCTGGAGAGTTGGAAGAAGTACTTTGGCAGTCTACTGTGTAACTTCCTTTAAAATATAATTGTCTTCTTCCCAGACAGAGCAACATGTGTATGTATGGGTGTGTCGGGAGTTGTTGTGTTATATGATATTATGGTATGCCATATTCTGGGTTGTTATGTTATGTTATGCTATGTTATGTAATGTTTTGTTTAGCTATGTTATGTTACTGTGCGTTTTTTGTGTTATGTTTTACTGTATTGTAGTGTCTTATCTTATCTTTTCTTATCTTATCTTTTCTTATCTTATCTTATCACCTTTCTGTGTCCAGCGGCGTGCACCGAGCTCAGGTACGCATGGACCCACCCACCAAGTATCCCACACCGTACGGCGGAAGACTGGAGTGGACACTTCCAGGCAAGAACAAACTGACCGTTCACCTCAAGGACAAGGTTATGATTCGTCACAAGAAGAGGTGGAGTCAGGTGTGTAAGCCCCGAGCTCCCGTTACTTCAGTTACAACCGAGTCAACAAACGTACAGAGACGATGCTCAACAGAGCCAACAAACTCATAATAATTATAGAATACGTTTATTCGCTTCAACAAACTCTTAGATTACTTTCGATCAAAGCAACAAGCTTATAGAAAGTACCTGCAGCCGAGTTAACAAACGTATATAGACTGCATTCAACCGAGTTGACGAATTTGTCTGGCCCATGTTCAACCGAGTCAACAAACTCATACTAATAAAAATAATAATATATTGCATTTATATAGAGCATATCCGCTTATGCAATGCTCTATGCGCTTAACATGATACATATTAGGGATTTACAAATCAATTTTAAAGGCACATAATGTTACATACTCGTGCACACACATATTCACGCACGCACGCACCACACACACATACACACATACGTACATATGCACATACGCACATACAAACTCACAACGATGTGTATAAAACACGGACAAACAGCCGAAACAACGAAAAAGAGAAGCCAAAAGAACATACCAATTCTTTTTCTCCCCAGAAACAAGCCCTACAGTTCTTCCAGGAGGAGCAGGAGCGAGAAGTGGAGATGGGTCTGAAGCCCCGCGGTTCCCTGCGCACTGACGTCACGCCGATGATCTACGTGTGCGCCACCATGTGGCACGAGACGGATAAAGAGATGTTACAGATACTCCAGTCTATATTTAGGTATTGGTCGAGATAGATAGATAGATAGATAGATAGATAGATAGATAGATAGATAGATAGATAGA